TAGTACATCAGATACGTTATTTTTATGTGTTGAGCATCACCACCTCGTTTCTCTCAAACATGATGCGATAACTTATCGAATACGGAACATAAAAAATACCAGCATATAAGATAGTAATTAATCGGTTCATGCATTTTTTTTTTTACTCAATATTAAATGATAATAAAATGCAAAATGCATAATTGATATAACAGCTTATATAGTATTTTTTATACCCCGGAAATTCTTGGACATCCCTCACAGTCTTTTCCCCAAACTGATGAGTATACTTCAGTATTGTAATTTTAATTTTAGATGATGTGTGTTTATGTAAAAAGTAAGGATTGGAAACCAAGGGGATAAGAAGAAATGTGAATAAGCTAATCGGAATAAAAACCTGAATATAGGAATGTTTCGGTCCATCAAGTCGCATACATTCCTGTTCAGGTTGCAGCACTGCAACTGAACCTCGCCAGTGTGACAGTTGCAGCAAAAATAACATGTCTTCGATGCCCCCCGATATACCGCACTACTCAAATTTTTCCTTCCATTACTTAGATGGACTGCAGTATGCTGGGGCAAAGAAGTTTTTCTAATTAAAAATGGAGTTTTGGCATTTCTTTGATCATATTCCAGAATGGATCAGCTAGGGGAATGATTAAGCACAGTATTTCAGGTGCACAAGACAAAAGTGAAGTATTTGTTGAGATGGTTCGCGCGCTGCCCGATCCGTTCGGAGCGATGTTCTCCACTCTCATCGATATATGCGCCTACACTGGTACCGGAAATGTACTGAAAATACAGAAACTTCTTCATATTTGTTCGGAACATTACGAAACAAAGGAAACGAAAGAGGCAAAAAAGAAGGTCCGGGCTTGTTTTTATTGTTTTCGGTATAGCCGCACTGGTTAATGCAAACTAATCCACGCCAGCGATTTTTTGGTGTGTCCCTATCTTACTTAGAATGGTCGGTTTTGTGGATTAGTTATGTGCGGCATATAAGCGCCACGGAACTATCTTTCAACAATTTTTCATGTTTTAGGCAAATAAAGAAGACAAAAACAATACAAAGAAGGAGGGGGATGCTTCCAACGAGAAACCGGACTACTCCAGTCAACAAGCAGTTGCCGTACTGGGCATTGGTCTGATTGCTATGGGCGAGGAAATCGGCGCACAGATGAGCCTCAGAATGTTCGGCCATTTGGTAAAGTGCCTTTACTGTCGCTTTTTTTTAATTTCTGTATTTTCTTATAAATTTAATGTTCCGACAGTTCAGTTCATTGGCGGATCTAGGGAGGGGGGAGGTGCAAGGGGCCTTTCGTCCCCGCCTGCCCCCCCCCCTTTCCCAAGGGCTCAGGTAGTAATATTTTTACTGTACAGAATTGTGTTCGGTACCGCCTATTGTCCCCCCCCC